GCTTCGTTTTGTGAAATTTTAAATCGTAACTTGAGAAAAATTTCATGTCACATTCATTGCACGCGTGCCGTCTCTCCATCAAGTGATTCCGTCTCACGTGTATGCCGTACGACTTTGGCTTTGTGAAAGTTTTATTGCAAGCCTGACAACGTACCTCAGAACTGATACCGTGCACCTCTTTTAGATGATTCTCTTTCTGATGAAAATTCTTAAAGGACGCGGTGCATAAGCCGCACTTGTTCCGCATCTCGTTCGGGTGCGTATGGACGGATTTTTCGTGCAAATTCTTCTTCTTGAGCGAGTTGAACGTTTTCGAACAGTAGTCACATTGGAATGAGCCAGTCTTGTGACAAGTCAAGTGGGTCATTAGTTGCTTCAAATTGACGTAGCCTGATTCGCAAATATTGCAGATGAAATTTCTAAAATGTTTATGCATGTGCTCCAAAAGCATTTTAAATCTGCTGAATTCACTCGAGCAAATGTAACAGCGCAACGTTTCCGATTCAAACTTGAAAGGAATCCAGCGATGTGTGATATCAGTGTGCATGAATATGTTATGAATAGTCTTTAGATGGTCTACGATATCTTCAAGCGTATTGACATCGTCCCCGCAAATGTCACATCGTAGTGAGGTTATGTCTAATTTAACATAGAATGCTTTTAGATCGCGCCTGCTTGTGAAGCTAGCATTGTAAATGCTCGTGCCTTTATGCTGGTAGATTGTATGTTTTTTCAGTTCAGCCGGATCCGCGCATTCCTCGGAACAGTAGCAGCAAACATATCCAATACCTCCACGTTTTCGGATTGGTGTGGCGTTCGACCATTTCAGTATTACTTCTATATTCGTGTAGTGTTTCTTCAATTCTACGCTATGCCTATGTCTGATTCCGTTAATATTGTCATTGGTATTCCTTTTAATCTCTTTATTTGCCGGTATGCTGATATTAAGTAACTTCTTTACAGAATTCAGTTCATCTTCATGAAGTATACCTACAACGGAAAGTAAGAATTAAGACTCAGCATTTTCTGAAACTATTATAAGCTGTATGCATGCTAAAACATTTTGGAAAATGTCAGATTCAGTAATTTGCCTGCAACACCGCCATTTAATAAAACTTCACTGTCCGATTAAATTATCTTAGATATAGGTAATGTTAACAATTTTACGCGTAAATACAGACGATATATAAATAATCATACAGTTTACTGCCCAGCGCAAATGGATAGACTCCATTGTAACAGGCACCTGTGACAAAAATTCGTTCTGGAGGACATTACTATTATTCTGTACGAGCGTGGCCTTTTTCAACCGAGCAGACCCATTTGTCTACAGCAATAATACGCACCAGTGCGCCTATGGCCCTACCAGCATATGTGGTGTGTACATTCACAATTACCATACATTTGTTAAATACTACAGTTCTAGCATAATATTGTTTTATTTTACATTAGTCCAAGGGTTTTTAAAGTGTTTGCAGCTGCGACCTGCGCCGTAGAGAGCAAAGAGGGGCGCATTGAGGCGCTCTTGTTTACCATTCTCCAGAAACTAAACTTAGGTACCTTTTCGCGGGTACAAAATAAACGATACGAATAGCGCACGCTGTATACGTCACTCACTCGCCGATAGACATTTGAACTCGGAGACAGGTTCAAAATGAATATATAAATTTAAAGGCATGGGAAGATAAAGTTGACTGATAGATAAATGTAAGAAAACAATTGTTTTTTGTTTCATTTTTTTCCTGGTTCATAAGAATTATGTTTGTTTTGTATATTAACTATTTATTTATTTATTTATTTAACAATTTATGTACACACAAAATAATGTTACAAGGAAGCGAAAAAAAAAGATATTTTGTACAAAGGCACTGCTTATTTCATATTGAAATTTCTTCCAGCAGGCCTGATACTGGACAAATTAAAAGAGAAGCTGATCTAGTGTGCACTCTCATAATAAAATTTTATAATATTAATATACTTAACATAAAGTAAAGATAATAAAAACAAATATCCATTTAAACATACATATAACCACTATAAATACATATACACACATACGTACATACATATATATATATATATATTACATATATAAATATAATAATATATTATATATATGATCATTGGGACGACAAAGAAAGATAGTGCTCTTTGACTCGCCTTTTGAACACGGACACTGATTGAGCCTCTCGAATTGCAGCAGGAAGAGAATTCCATAATCTAACTGCATGTACTGTAAAAGAGTGAGAATAGGACTTAGTTTTAGAGGAAGGGAAATTTAGGAGGGTTTTTAAATGTGATCTGCAAACTGCATCGGGGGAGTGCGCAAAGTGGAATCGATCACGTAGATAGGGTGGTGATGTTGGATTGTATAGTATGTTAAAGAGGAGGCATAGGATTCGGGTATTCCTGCGAAGTCGGATTGGGAGCCACTTGAGCTGTTTGCGATAGGAGGAGACGTGGTCATACTTTTTTAGTCCGAAAATATAACGAATACATAAGTTTTGCAAGCGCTCAAGTTTGTTTAATTGCTCCTCAGTCGCATCCAAATAACAGACATCAGCATAGTCAAGAATCGGGAAAATAAGTGATAACTAGTTGATTTTAGAAGAGCATTTAAATTTTGTTTTACTTAATACAGTTGTCATCATCATCATCATCAACATCTTGTATTGGACAATTCATTCCTAATTAAGTTCCTACTACATCAGTACCTCACTCAGATTATAATTAGATACATTACTTAATTACCGTGTTGTTACTGATTGATCTCTTGTAAACCTATGGACAAAAGATATACTGTGAAAAACATAATTCGAATAATTATAACTTTTGTTCTTAATTCTTATTCTAGTGTTTTAGCTTTACTTAGAAACTCCTTACTTACCTACCCATCTATTTATTTCAAAGTTCGTTACTACACTACGATAAACGAATGGATGTTTCTTCAAGCGATTGTTTGATTACAATATAAGACAGACAATTGATTTTTTTTATAGGATAGGTTGACAAACGAGCACACATTCCACCTGATAGTAAGCGGTTGCTGTGACCTATAGACATCTACATCTATCCTCAATAAAGAATCAAAATGCAGATGCGTTGTCACCCATGAAGACTGAGATGGAATGCCTCTTTTCCAGTGAGAAGGGTACAAATCAGTATTTAAAGTTGACACGATAATCATGTCGGTCATTGTCGTCCGCCGCACGCAGTTAGTTGATAACAATCGACTAACATGGATTGTTATCGAATTTTATCGACTAGACTGATAAATCGACTATTTCAAATAGTTTTAGTAACAATCGTCTATCTCTAGTGCCTATCTACCGTCTATCATTGTACCTTATTTCGACTAGCTTTTTTATCGTGGGAAAATTCTCATGGATACCTTCGGCTGCGGGAACTACAAAAAAGTTATGTCAGACTCCTACGGTCTAAAACCCTAGCGTGTATGAGGTCCTGGGATCTCCGAACGGAGATCCCAGGACCTCATACACCAAACCGCGCCAAACAAACCAAACCGGGGCCCCTCTCTCGCTTTGCTTAGTTAAAAAACGTCCCGGGGGCAGTCCTTACTGCCTTCAGCACACTCGCAGTGATATTACGGTGATCGGGACCACTTCCGAGTCACCGTCCTCCTCGGGGGTTAAATTACTAGACATTAGGGACCCCCGTCCCAAGCGCTGTAACCCCATAAGCCCCGTTTCTGGTGTGGAACACGCTCATCAAGGGGAGGGTCGTGACGACGTCGTCTAAGAGCGGGATCTGTCCTCCACAGACACCGCTCAGCAGTCTATTTCTGGACTATAACGGATTCACAGAAGGCGGCTACTGCTCTCCACGCCGAGTACCTGCTCAGTATCGCTGACCCGATTACTGGCAGGGAGAAGTTCTGACCGATCCGGCTTAACAGGACCGTCTGCTCCCGTTCAAGATTTTTCCGTAATTAGAATCCGTGTACATTATAAATTTTATCGCCCCTAAATTTGTCATGTTTAATCCAACGCTCCTGCTTTATGCACAAGTTCACGCGTGTACATTAAAACTAGTTGCAGCCGCACTGCTCACTAGACTAAATCTAGTTGCGCGACTGTATCGGCATCCTACAAAAATGCGGATTTCAGTTTTTTTGCGGCAAAAAGATATGTCATATCACGTCAAATTTACAAAAATATGGCGATACCTTTCATTTATACGTAATTTTTAAACACATTACATATTGCTTTTATTTTTTTATTATTAAAAAAACGTTACCACCCCACTAGGATTTCCTCCTGTATCGTGGAGGCGGTTTACAAACATAAATTGCACGAGGACAACCATCCAGACCCGGAACAATCATTTGTAGGCCATACAAATACTTGTTACGTGTGGGATTCGAACCCGCGGCCCTCAGCGCATCAACTCATTGCTAAGCCACTGCGCCACGAAGCCGTCTATTACTATATATATTGGCATTTACTTCTTTTTAAGTTTAAGCTTAAAAATTACAATAATAACGGTCGTGTTGTTTCGGATTTGTTTACCAATACATGCAACTCGCTGTCATACAATAGGCAGATCGATAGAGCTAACGATCCGAGTTGTCGCTGTAACCGAGCTATGCTGTTATAATCTATGTGTATGAGAACTTGTTAGTGAATTGTTTTAATTGTTACGTTTGTTTTGTAGTGACAGACGATTTTATGTGCGCAGATTTCCCCTCGCACAAAAGACAAACAGTTCTGTATCGGAAAAAAAACACTATGGCTACTCCCCTTCGATACGCCCATGTTGCTCTATGTCTTTTGCTCTCACGCATTCAGAACTGACTTTAATTCGACAGTAAAATAATTTGGACGTATTATTTGAATATTGCTTGTGTTGTTCACGATGGTCTCAAACGAATTTGGTGTTTAGTCTAAAACCAAACTAGAGTGAAAGATTTGTGATTTTATTTATTTAAAACAGTTTAATAAATAATATAAAGTTTCACTTTATATCTATGGCCCTTTTATTTACACCTGTTGGCCGTGCTTCGCGCGCATGTGTCCTCGCCAGCTGCACTTCTGTACGAACGCCTGTCCGCAGCGGTCGCACTTGAAGCGCCTGTCGTCCGCATGAATCCGCATATGTTCCCTCAATGTTTTTCGTCTCGCATACGCTTTATGACACACCTCGCATTCAAAGTTCCTCACGCCCGTATGCTTGACCATGTGCTCCTTCAACTCATGCGTAACGAAGAATTTCATATCGCAAAATTTACATTCGTGCCTCCTCTCTAACAGGTGGTCTCGTTTGATGTGGATCGTTAAGGCCGATTGGGTTTCGAATGTTTTGTCACACGCCTTACATTTGAGCGTGACGGATCGAACGCCGTGGACTCTGGCCAAATGGTCGAGCTTCTTCCGATAATCTTTGAATTTTTCGTTACAATAGCCACATCTGTTGAGCATATTTAGATGTATGTGAACCGATTTCTCGTGCGACTTCTTCTTTCTGTATGTGTCGAAGACTTTTTCGCAAAAGTCACACTTGAAAGTGCCCTTCTTGTGACCTTCAGCGTGGTTTAACAATATGTTCCTGTTAACGAAACCCGCGTCACACACCTCGCAAATGTAATTCCTGTAATGGATATTCATATGCTCTTGTAGTGCTTTGAACTTATTGAAAGAGTTCATGCAATACACGCACTTTAGTAATGTGTCACCGTCGAATTTGAATGGCACGATGTGATTTTTGATGTCGGAATAAAATTTCCTGTCGTGAACCGTGATCAAATGTTCGATCATTTGCTCCAATGATGGTATATCGGTGTCGCAAAGGGTACATTTTAACAATGTTATATCGAGCTTTACGAGATAGGAGAACATCATTTTGCCCTCCATGAATTTACGCTTTGCCTTCGCATCGTGCTCTTCCAAGGTGTGTTTCTTCAAATCCATAGGATCTGGGTACTGTTCGGCACAAAAACAACACGCGTATCCGATTCCACCGTGACAACGGATCGGTGTCGCGTTCGAGCACTGCAAAATTTCCCTGATGTTGGTCCGATGTTTTTCTAGCTCTCGCCCTTTGTACCTATCATTTTTATCCATTTTCACTTTGGAAACGTTGACTTTCTTGGATTTTTCTTTTACTACGAGTTCTTTTTCACATTGGTTTCCGATTTTCGTGCTTACGGTACGGAGCACACCTACAAAGAAAAGTATTGGTTATTGAGATTTATGATCTTTCGCGAAAAGGCGAAGAGTGGCCGAGAGCGCTATATTATGTTTATAAATACGTACATTTACATCTTAAACAACAATTTGATTTGCAAATAATAAATTGAAAGGAATATAATATTTATTTTTAATCTGTGCCTATAAGTTAGATTGCACTCAGTATAATATATGTATAAGTATATCGGAGTCATTAAAATCATCTCATACACAATAAGTTTTTGAACTTATATCTCAGCATACGTGCGTAAATATAACTTCTATGCGTAGATATATGAAGAAGAATAAACGGATGAAACCTCTAGGTGACAGGTGTGAGTTTATGTACGTATGTTATATCTCAAATATTAAGTAAAAGACGTTGCAAGATTTAGTGTTTTTCAAGAGTATTATCTGATGGTAAATGAATTATGTGGCTCATAGACACTGACACTCGCAATCTGTTCCTATACTGGCTCTCTAAAAATTCTTATGGCTTCTGCCTAAATATATTTGCAGCATGACTTTTTTTTATAGTATATGGTGACAAACGTGCACACAGTCCACCTGATGGTAAGTGGTTACTGTGACCCATAGACATCTACATCTATCCTCAATAAAGACTCAAGATGCAAATGCGTTGTCACCCGTGAGGACTAAGATGGAATGCCTCTTTACCAGTAAAAAGGGTCTCCGGTTCTCTACATTCACCATACGAAACACAGCAGTGTTAAGCTGCTATTTTACGCTGGTTTTCTGTGAGAGCGTGGTCCTTCCCCGGTCGAGTCAACCCATTCGTGCTACAACTATACTACTATACACTAAACTAGGGATACGTAATAGAGTACGTGGTAGAGCTATGCTGCAGCATGGTTCTACCACGTACTCTACCACGTATCCCTAGTTTACAAGTTTTGTATGCAGGCAGTTAGCCATAAATACAGTTACATACTTTAGTGTTAAGGTTTAAGTAGAACGACCTTAATTTAGAGGTTAAACCCCAACAAGGTACCAACAAGATTTCTGTCAATAAAGTAGAACATAGTAGTGGTTAATTTAAGTTTAAGTTAAGTTAATATTTAAAATGCTGTAAGATAATTTGACGGCTCCACGCGTAAAGGCCTCGGGTTCGAATCATTCAAGTATTTATTTGTTCCGTGTGTACAAATGTATGGCCTACAAATGACTGTTTCGGGTCTGGATGTTTGTCCTTTATGTATGTAAACCAAAATAAAGGAGAAAATCCTAGTGTGAAGGTAACGTTTTTAAATAAAAGAAAAACAATACGACTGTAATTGTAAGACATATTCTACAAAATGGAAACAACCTACAAAGTATAGATATGTTGCTTTAATAGGAGACGCCAACGTTCGTGGCAGTCGCGGCTATAAACTGATTAAGCGCGAGCAGGCTGTGCGCGTGCAGGACATATTGTCAATAGTCTAAAGTAATTTACAGTATTTCTTTTTTTCAAATTTTCTAATGGATTTCCAAATCATCTTTAAACTATAATTGTAAAATTAAATTGTACCTATTAAATCTTACGGATTAGTAAGCTGAAGTGGCACTGGGCCTGCCATATAGCTCGAAGAACCGACAACCGATGGGGAAGAAAGGTTCTTGAGTGGCAGCCTCGTACCGGTAGGCGAAGTGTAGGGCGATCCCCCACGAGATGGAGTGACGATCTGGTAAGACATGCAGGAAGTCGATGGATGCAGGTGGCTTAGGACCGTGCTTTGTGGCATTCCTTGGGGGAGGCCTATGTTCAGCAGTGGACTTATGAAAGGCTGTAATGATGATGATGATGATATTAAATCTTGGAGGATTTTAAAAATTTATATCATCTATTTTATTGCTTATGATTCTAATTATTTAAGTTGCATCTGTACAGTTTTCGATTTATTTAGAACCTTATTATAAAAGTTTAAATAACAATAACAACTTAAATAACTAAAAATAACATAAATAATTTAAAAATAACGGGTATTTAGCGTTATCGATAGTAATGCGACGCATCATTAGACCTCCCGTTTCAATAATTAAACTTTTAATAAGAAATAAAAACTGACCTAAAACTGTAAATAATTTCCATTTAATAAGCTTCCGAAGTTAGTGCTCAGACGTTGTCTATCGAAAAACTAAAGCCAGGACATCTCTACATAGTATAAAACAAAGTCGCTTCCCGCCGTCTGTACGCTTAGATCTTTTGAACTACGCAACGGATTTTGATGCGGCTTCCATCAATAGACGGAATGATTTAAGAGGAAATTTTATACACGTGTGACTGAACTTCTCCTAAACGGCTGGACCGATATTGATGAAATTTTGTGTGTGTGTGTGTGTGTGTGTGTGTGTGTGTGTGTGTGTGTGTGTGTGTGTGTGTGTGTGTGTGTGTGTGTGTGATTAGGTTGTTTAGAGAATGGTTTAGATTCACAATTGGACCCGGTAGGTGGCGTTGATGTCGAGATTCAGAAATCAAACATGCGAAGCCGGGGCGAATCGCTAGTTAAAGTTTATTTTGACCTTTTGAGTTAAGGGGCTACTCCATGCGAACCACATTGAGCATTTGACCTAATATATTAATATTGTAGCGAGCGGCTCGCCGGAAGAAATATGTAAGACGCCACCTATTGTACGAAAGTACTATTATTTTTTCAACATCAATAAACTATTTTATGGAAATACACATAGCGTACAAAGATAAATGTATTTTAATTTTTTTATTCTGTATATATTAGTTGCATAATATTAGAATTATGTATTTTCATATATTATCTAATTATGAAATTTTATAATTAATTATATATTAAAACTGAAGCATTGAAAATTGTGAGTTTAAAAGATACCTATTCACTATAGGTAAATAAATAGATAGCTCGGCTTTTGTACAAATATTTGGTGCAATAAAAAATAAATAAATAAATAGGATGTTTCGCATATGTGTTTTTGATTATTGTTAATTTTTACGTGTCACGTATTGAAAAGTTACCTACTAATTTTTGAACTGAGCACCTTGTAACTTAGCCTGCTTATTACTTATGCTAGCAGATATTATCCTCACCCCAATGATTGATGAGGATAAAAATCAATTTTATTTCTACATACGTAATTATATTTATTTATACATAAGGGTAACTTTAATAAAGGTAATACAAAAATCAACAAGAAGTATAAGGGTTCAATCTTTCAATTTCAGTTGTAAAAAAACGTTACCCCCACACTAGGATTTTCTCCTGTGTCGTGGAGGCAGTTTACAAACATAAATTGCACAAAGACAAACATCCAGACCAGGAACAATTATTTGTAGGCCATACAAATACTTGTTCCATGCGGGATTCGAACCCGCGGCCCCCAGCGCAACAACTGATTGCTAAGCCACTGCGCGACCATGAAGCTAATACAAAGACTAACTTTGTATTTGCTTCATGGTCGCCGGGTTATAGCTAAAGTGACCATACGTCCCGTTTTGAACGGGACTGTCCCTTTTCTCGGTCTCCTGTCCCATTGTCCCCAAACAAAGCTCCGGGACACAAAATTGTCATGTAACTAGTTGGATGGAAGTATTCAAAGTCAACAATCTTCAACATAATTTTTTTTAATCGAATATATTTTATGTCTACCTGGTACGAATGCTCCGGTAGAAAGAGTATTTTTTTATTTTGCATAAATTGTGGACGTCTGAAAGAAACACTTACGGTTCCAGAGTTCTAAAGGCGATGTTGTTAACAAAGATAACAATAAAAAACTTGAGCAGAATTTTATTCTTATTTAAAATCATCACCAACTTTATTAAAGCAAATTTAATCCACTGACAAATGTAATTAATAATTAAAAAAAATATGTTGCATTTAATAATTACCGTCTATACCGAATATAATTTTATAGTGAACACTAATTGTATAAAGTTATAGTTTTTAGAGTATAAATAAACCCATGTCCTGTTATGAGTTAAAAAATAAATGGTCAGTTTAGTCTTTTTAGTTAAATTTAGTTTTAAATTTTTTTAGTTTATAGTAAAAAGTAGGTATATTAGTACCTACTTAGATACTTTTTACCGAATTATAAGTATAGAACACCTTATATACTCAATTATTTTTTTAAAAAGAAGAAAAAACAAGCAATAAATAATATACTATATTTTAGCAAAAAACTATAACTTAGTAATACTAATTATAACTTAGAACATAAATGAAAAACTCATAACTGACTTTTTGGCCCGACCCAGGATTCGAACCCGGGACCCCATGATCAGCAGTCGCACTACTACAACCACTAGACCAACGAGGCAGTACTATACCTAATAAGATATTGTGGTTGGGTGATAATATTGAATTAGCCTTTTATAGTGTAAATTATAATATTTGTCGAAATTTTAATTATGGATCGAACCTTACATGCTAATGGTGCTTTATTTTTTTATTTGCATTTACTTCAAAGAAAATACACGCAAAAAGCTTCATCGCGCAGTAAAAAGCACAACAAATATATGTATAACTAATACGAAAAATTATACTCAAAACAAACAAATAATACTACCTATAAATAACCTAATAAGTAATAATATTATCGACTCATATGACGTGGCGTATGCGTTGGTCGACGCTCTAACGACACGGGCTTCATGTCGAAGAGCTCAGCGCTCACTGACTTCAGCAAGCCCGTGAGCAGTAAATATGCCCAGATTTTAAAATAATTTCTTAATAAAATCAAATATTGGTCTTTTGAAAAAAAAATTACTATAGAAATGTTCATTAATAAATTGCCTATCCATTGGTGTAAATCGCAAAATAAAATAATACTTACTTTACGAGGAGATGCATGTTATCAATAATAATTTCACATTTATGTGGTTTCGTTGTAAGGTGATTATATTAATATTTATTCCTTTAAAAAAA